CCTTAATAATTGTTTGTCGCTATTTATTATTTACCTCTGATCCCCAAAAGTCTCCCATAACTGTAAATCTTAACAAGTTCAAGTACTTCAGGTATTCCATATCCTTAAATCAGTATCCCAGAACTTTCTGACCCATTACAATCTGGATAGGTCAACCTCTATAAAAAGTGTTGTCTAGAACTTTCTCTAATGATGAAATTGTTCTGTGTATAGACTGTTCAATGTGGGAGCCACTAGCCACATTGTAAGTGGCTATTGTAGCTAGTATGAGAAATTGAATTTTTAATTTTATTTAATTTTCATTTTCATTTAAATAGCCAATTAGAGCTAGTGACTACCAATCTGAACAGAACAGCTCTGGAACTACTACAGAACTACAATTTTGGGATCTATTTGCCATAGTTCCCTGATCAGTCATCTTCCTTTCTGCATTTACTTCCTTATTTTAGGAGAGCATATAGTCTACTTACTACCTTCCTGAAAAATGATGCATGAGAGATAAATTTTTTTTAGTTAACCATCCAAAAATTTCCTTCTTTTACTCTCACACTTCATTGATCATTTAAGCACAGACTTATTACACTGGAAATCATGTTCAGTGTTACTGTTGAGAAATATCATTCTGATTCTTGATCCTTTGTATAAACTGTTCACTCACTGAGGCTTACAAAGTTCATAATAATCTGAAAATTCGTAATAATCTATCTCAGTGTGGGTCTATTGTAACTCATCATGATGGATGATCATGGGCCCTTTTAAAATGGAAATAAATGCATTGTTCTATAGTTCCAAGAAATTCTCTTTAAATTATTTCACTGGTGATTTCTTCCCCTCCAGTTTCTCTGTTTTCTCCTTCTGAAATATCTGTTATTCAGGCCATTCCCCTAATTTTTATCTTTTCTTTCTTATTTTGCATGGGTTTATTGTTGTTGTTGTTGTTCTCCTTTCTGATCAATTTCCTCAACTTTTAATACATCATTTTATAAATGTAATAACTACTCTCACCCTCCAAAAATTGAGTTGTTTTATTTTGTGTTTGCATTATCTGTCTCTTCCAAAATGTTTTTATGCTTTTTTGTTTTGATATCCAACTTCCATATCAGTGGCTTTCCCTAAGATGTTTATAGTTAGGAATGAAATTAGAAAGCCAATTAGCTCTGTGTACGTGGTGGTAATTGCCAACAATGAGATTCACAGAGGGATGATGTAGCTAAAACCTTTCCCAGAGATGCCACTTATACTGGCATTTTTAGATGTTTTTTTTCTTGGCCAAATTAAATACCTTAAAGGAAATTATTTTGCTCACGTAGCTATTAAGTAATTTTGAAACGTATGTATTCACATGGTAACATCTAAAATTTTCATTTTAAGTTTCCATAATTACAAAGGCTATAATCTCTAGCATATTAACTTTTTAAAAAGTTTTATTTTTATAATAATTTTGGACTCACAGGGAGATTGCAAAAATATACAAAAAGTTCCCATATACCCTTCACCCAATTTCCTTAATGTTAACATCTCACATAGCCAAAGTACTGTTACCAAAATCAGGAAATCAATACTGATAAAATATCATTAACTACACTACAGACCTTACACCAGTTTTATCAGTTTTTCCACTAATGTCCATTTTCTGTTCCAGGATCCGATCCAGGACTCCACAATGCATTTATTTTAATGTCTCTCTAATATCTGACCTTTTATAATTCCCCCATCTTTCCTTGTCTTTCATGAGCCTGATTCTTTTCAGGATTACTGATCAGTTATTTTATAAAATAACCTTCAACTTGGCTTTGTCTAGTGTTTTCTCATGATAAAACTGAGGTAATGCATTTTAGGCAAAAAATACCACAGATATCATGTTATGCCCTTCTCAGGACATCATAGATCTGGGGTCCATGATATTAATGTCTTATTCCTAGTGATGTTAACTATAATCAATTAGTTAACATGATTTCTGTGAGGATTCTTTATGTAAATTTACTATTTTTCCCTTTGCAATTGACTTAAAGAAAAACAAAAACCAATAAATAAATCTCTTAAATGTATCAAAGGATCCTAAAAACTATTATCAATTTTATAACTGTTGTCATCCATTAAACAAACTATTTCTTTACTATTGAACTAATTATTCTTTAACACTTAAAAATTTTTCATTGTTCTGTCTTCTCCTTGAACTTCTATTTCCATTATATTTATTCTACAGAATGTTATCCTATGTAATATATCTCTATACCTGAAAGTTTATTGATGATCCATCCAATCATTATTCTCTGTAATAACATTCTCTGTAATAAAATTTTTTAATTTCGTGTGGATGTAAGGTCCTACGTATCAATGTAGGACCCAAAAGAAATCTTGAATTATTATCATAATTAACTATAGTACATGATGGATAAAAACACATGTATATTGCACATTTGAAAAACTAATTAAGCAAAAAATAAAATTATACTGAAAATACGTATCTTAATGAAATAGGGGGCTTACTTTTTTTACTTGTGTGTCCACAAATGAACATTACTTACTACCAGAATGAGACAAGGTTCAGCATTAATTGTATTCCTGTTTTTTTATTTTTATAGATAAATTTGCTTAGTAACTGTACACAAGATCAGAAAATCTTTTGATATAGTGATGTTACTTGATCTATGAGCTCCCTTATACCACACATCATACAATAACCTAGCATAAAAAAACATTTTTAATAACCTGACATTTACCTAACCCAAAAAACAAACAAACAGTAAGTCCTTCACCATAATCTCTTTCTTCAAGCAAAGGAGAATTTATACAGTTTCTTGACTTTCACTGTACTGTAATAGGATTTAACCTCATAAACAAAGCCTCCTTTTATACATCAAGGCTATTTTTATAACCCAACTATTATCCCTATATACTGATTTGTCATTTAATTAAAAAATCATAAATAACTGATTGCATAAGGCTTTCACTGAACTAGAACTTTATTTTATAAAGATTTTATCTCTTTGCTGGTACAGTTTTTTTTTTCCTGAATACGTAAGGAATACTTCTATCACAAAGTGTTTTAGTCCTGTTTTGGATAATTTTTCCAAAATATTTTATGTCTGCATTTCCTTTGTTTAAAAAAAAACCCAAACTTCCAGACTAAATTTAATGGTTACTGATTCAAAGGCTAGTGTAAGCACACCTAATTCCATTGTTATCTGGTTGATGAGAGCCAGAGCGTAGAGCAGGAGAGAACAAAAATTAATATAGCAAGGATGTAAGACTAAATTAGCAAAGTTAAGGTGCTAAAAGTGGTAGAAAAGTAGCACTTGGAAGCACCTGGAAGCTCCAGGATATAAAATTGAGTTAACTACCAGAACAAGCAAAAAGGCCAGGTCTCAAAGAAGAGAGGAAGAGTTCCAAACACACATAAAACAAAGAGGAACACACTCCTGGAATCAAATACTGATCAGAAATACTAAAAGAGGAATGCTATGCCCTTTAACTGTATGTTTTTCAGCTGAAGCAAGATTTAAACAAAAAAAAGTATAAACTAATATGTTCTCAAAATATCTATGCTAGTTTCAGATAGGAAACTCCCCTGAAACCAGTATGAAAAGTGAAAAGCCTCCAATTCCCATAGGAATTATCTTGTATAAAATAAAGCATAAAGTAATTGAACAACACCCCAGCCCTAAACTTACTAAAACATTCTAAAAACAACAAAGTGATGCTTTTTATGCAATGCAGCAGTGAGCTTCCATTTAACAAACAGTATTATTCTGCCCCTGTAATAATAATATCTTTCTGTAGGTACACAAATTATTGATTCTATCTCAAATTTATACAATAAAATAAACTATTAAAGGAGAACCAGAGCATTTACTAAACACCAAAATCATTTTATACTCTAGATTACAATTTTTTCCTTGAGAAAGTGGCCTTCCTTTTACTAACTATATATATAATCTCATCATAAATGTGTACTAATTATGTGATGAAGATACTGGTCACAACTGTTCTTCAAACAAGCAGTGAATTTGATGTGATCTTTACAATGGATCTGACCAGAAGAGCTAAGTTGGGAAAGTTTGAAATGCAAAAAAGACAGAAAAATAATGTGAGCATTTGATGTCAAAGGTCTTTTGGTCAAGGTACAGAACAGGACAAACTTTGTTGCTTGGTTTTTTATACACATGGAATAAGCATGTTAGATCTTTGCAGCTCTAGTATATCTAGAGACATACAGGATATCTAGAGATCAAATGAACAGGAAAACAGAAAACAAGATGAAGCTGCACCAGTTTCTTAGTAGTCCAGTCTTAGGATAGGAAATCCAAACTTCAGAAGAGTTACAATTTCAAAGTTGTTTGAGTTCTCTAAGTATATATTAAAATACTTTGTTTTTCACAGTAATTAGCAAAGCTGCCTTTAATGTCAAGCTAAATCAGCAGCACTAAACAGGAAAGGGTTGGTCCACAGGTAAACAAGAGTTTAAAGGGAACCAGTAATACTGACTGAAGAATCACAGTAAACAACTTTTCAGGGGTGTCCAACCTTTTGGCATCTCTGGGCCACACTGGAAAAAGAGGAGTTGTCATGGGCCACACATTAAATACATTGTAGTATGTAATCACCAAAAAATCTCATAATGTTTTAAGTAAATTTACAATTTTGTGTTGGGCTGGATTCACAGCCATCCTGGGCTGCATATGGCCCACAGGCCACAGGTTGGACATCCCTGCTGGGTTTAAATAAAAGGAAGGACAACAGGAGAAAATGAATAAATTTGAGGCTCTCTCTCTCCACACATATGGAGACATTTTCCTTTCTGACAAATATTTATTTTTGTTTTCCCAAAAGGCCTTACTAATAATCCTCACTCTTATTCAATGAATGAAAATATTCCCCAAATTACTAATTAAAATCACCTCAATTTGACTCAAGATTCACTTAAAAGCGATATTGATACAGTTGGGGTCTGAAAAGGTTTCCATTATACACAGTTTAAATAACTTTTAAAGACTCACCTGTAGGCTTAACTGAATAAAACCCAATGGCCTCTCCTTTCTTCCACAGAATCTTAGCATAATCAGTACTGCTATGACACAGGAATGGGATCTCATTTCTCTCCATTTCCTGTTTTCTATAAATAATTCGATTCAGAACATACAGAACCACTCTCTCCCCAAGAGTTCTCACCTACAAAGAGAGTCAAACACCAAGCACAACGGTTATAATATGCATCAATTCAGAGATGCTATTTACCTTGCTCCCTGCTTCATACCTCATGCTGGCATTCAAAGAACTTTGAATACGTTCAAACAAACTATTTCGTAAACATTTTATTATGACAGAGATAAGGCTAATCATTCATGCTACTGACGATCCATTTCTATACAGCCATGTTATGCATGGACACTACCTCTCAGCAAAATTCTCAAACAGGCAAAACGAGTTTGCAGTGCACCAATCCCCAGCATCTCCTCTTTAGCACTCAGTGTTTTCTTTCTGCTTCCAGCTGCCCAGATGAGGGGTCTTAACCACCCTGAATGCTGCCTTCATCACCCCTTCTGCTTCAACCCCTTTTCATTCTATTTCAGCCTTCACATTTGGAAAAAAAGAGAGAGAAAAGGCTTCATGCTACCTGTCCCCTAAAGACTTTACGAACAATTACCTCATTTGACGAGCAAAGCCATAATGCTCCTGGGGAAGGAATCTACCCCATCTTTTCTAGGTAAAGTGTTCTCTCAACAGTTGTGTTTTTGTTGTCTAACTACAAGGAATACATTCCTACCCGCACACACACACCCTCTGCCGGACCAGATGAGTGATGATGGTGGCACTGGGGAAGTCTAGTGAAAACATACCTGAGGCAGTTCCAAAATGGAAATTGAGCCTCACTTCTTACATGCAGGGCTACCTGGTCACAGGGGTGCCCCTCCCTTACCAACTTTCTGCTCTGACATCAAATGATGGGGTTTCCCCAACAGGTCTTTTACTGCTAAAAACAAGAGTTCTATCCATAAAGACTCTTCTCCAAAGTTTCCTTAAAAAAAAAAAAGAGTTTTTTTCCACATACCTCTAGTAAGGTATGTGGAAGGTATGTGGAAAGAATAAACACTAACTATATACATACTACTCTCAAAATCATCCCTAGTAGGAAATCTCCAGTACCAAACAACACATGAAATGACAAAGCTTTTTAGCTTATAAGGCAACCCACTCCTACCTTGAACAGCTTTGATCAGCATAAAATTCTTCCTCATACTGAGCTAAAATCTATTTCCAAAGATATGCTTTGATACTCTGGAGCTACAGAGCCTACAAATATCTGAAGACTGCCATAATAGTGCCCTAAATTTCATACCAATGCTAAACAACTGAAGGAAAGACTAATCTAATGCAATCTAGGGTACTTCTGCCATTCCAGTCCTCTTCCTTGAAAATTGCTCCAGATCCCTAATATCTGTATTCATGATGGGTATACAGATATTACAGATATAAACAATGAAGATATTGCTAAGACAACAAGGCTTTTTGCATAAACTTAAGGCTTGTAAAGTAGCTTTTTCACATATTCATTTACTTCTAATTAACTAATGCCCACTCTTTCTTATGTGTATTGCTGTTTCAGTGGGGTCTTTATGGTTTACATGGTATAATTAATTTTTTGAACCTACAGATACTACCTTACATTTATCCTCATTTATTTTCATTATGTTAGATCCTTCCTTTTTTGTTTCTTAATTCTTCCTTTCACAGATTGGGTCTCCCATTTAGCAGTATGGCATGTAGAATTTACATTCATGCCATCTATGTCTTCCTCTACATATCTGATAGAACAGTGACCAAGACAGAAAAAAAAAGACCAAGTTTTGCAGTAGGCTGCTGAGAACCTCCCAGAATGGCCCCACCGATAAGTAAGTTTCCTGGTCAGTGTCTCCTAGAGACAGAGAACTTAAGCAACCACAAAGAAAACTAGCTTTTTCACTACCCAATAAGAAAACCAGAAGCTGAAGTTGGTATGGGTAACTACATTTCAACTAACACGTAGGTATTCATTCTTCCTCACACAATTCTCATGTACATTTAGAAAAATGAAACTCTGAGGGTTTAATATAAACTTGTCATAGTAAAATGGAAAAAAGAACCCAATAACTTCAATAGCTACCACTGTTTATGGGAAACAAACTTATGAAATGGCCTAAGAAAGACTTTTAAAATTACAGGATCTTATTACCTGCTTAAGTCCCTCTCTAGAAGGGACAGATGTTTTCACAATATCATCAATAGCCCACCACTGATCAGCAAGGTAAAATGCAACAGCTAAAATAGAATAAATGATTATTAACATTTAAGTCTTAAGTCTTAAAGGATATATTACTATTTGTTAAGGTTTATATAAATACTTTTAAGTACACCCATGCTTTAAAATATACAATGTAGCACCATTTACAGCATTTTATTTTACTCATTAAACCTTTAATTATAAGCAATTAAGAATTGTATTTTCCTACATTTACAGTTTGAAACAAATTTTCTTTTTAAAAATTCCTTCATGTAGCTACCTTTTAATAAATTTCTAATTGTTTGGAGAAAAACTCCTTAATTTTAAAGATTAAGTAAAAAAGAGACCTGTGAGTGAGTCCTCCGGTGAAAAAAGAGCAAGAATTTTCTGCGTCTGATCTCCACCATAAAGAGGTACAAAGCCTACATTTGACAGGCTAATAGGAATCTGAAATGACAATTGATTAAAGATTAGTGAAGAGCCTGTTAGAAAATATGGGACAAAAACACCATAATTCTACCAAAATATTAACTTAGCCTACATTAATGCTAATTATATAACTTTATTTCATAAAACGTATTTCTAGTCTCAAAAAAAAAGTAAATCAGAATTTCCTTTTGTGGAATTTTATTCTCTTGGAGAAAAAGCAATGTTTGCTTCAAATATTTACTTTAAATATTACTGTGCTCTAGCCTTAAGTCTAAGTAAAAACAAAAGAATGGTATGGTCTACAAAGCCATTAAAAAAACAACTACAATTTATCATCTGTTATTTAGACTATTGGTGGGGGGATTCTATTTTGTAGAAAAAGACACTAGATAGGTAAATTTTTCCCTAATTTTTGAGACACAAATCAATACTTTAAAATTTTTCTGCCTTCATTAATCCAACACCAATCCCCCATTTACAGACAATATTTCTATTTAGAGAATAAAAAAATATTGGCACTCAAAGAGACTTTTTTAAAGAATCCCTTAAATGAACATAATTTTCCAGAAGAAAAATCTCAGGGCTAGAAAGGTTAGAGTATTTAACTACCATCAAGTTCACAGTGGAATTCTCATGATTCCAAGTCTAATAATCCATCGCAATATATCACAGCTTACTAATTTGAACTTTTTTATTTTAATATTTTAGAAAAGGAAAGATTTCTGACACAAAAAATGTATGATTTAGTGTTTTTATTTAAAAATATATTAATATCACAAATTGCAAATCTAAAGAAAATTTGAGTTAGCTCAAATGATAACCAGTCCTAGCAAAATTGGTTAACTACTCAATCTTAAAGGCACAACACAAATATTAAGCAATAACCTATAGAGTATCTTTTTAAAACTTGAACACACTACTGTACTAACCAATCAATATTTATCCATTTGACTGATGTCTGCTAATACACATTTCAAAAATGAATAGTTAACACTTTAAAGTGATAAAATAAAAGGGTATTGTTTTCATGTATAAATTCAACTGAAAAGATTGATAAAAATCACTGCACAACACCTTACCGTAATACTGAGAAGAGAAAAACACTCAGGATTCTCAGGGTCCCCACACCTTAGATCTGACATATAATCTTCAGCAGAATTTTCCAATTCCTCGTGAGTGCAATTATCCAGCATATCCACAGGGAATGCCATCCTCTTTAACAAACAACATGGGACAAAATGTTTCAGAATACATAATGCTATCTTCCTTTTCTCATAGGAAAAATTTTCTATTGTAATATCCCAACATTTTATTCTAAGGAAAGATCTTCCACTATGACAAGTCAGACTACAACTTGGTCTGCTGATTTAACAATGTATGTTAAAAAGAAAATTTTTAAACATTTATTTGAATTAAAAATTAAAAATAAAATAGGATAGGAATGAATGGTGATTCTTTAAATAATATAAATACATCTATACAGGTATACTATATATGTATTTGCATATAAACACATACACATAAATATACCTTCGTACACCTGTCAACATTACAAGTCACTATACAAGGACAGAAGGGAACTTTTTGGAATGACAGAAATGTTCTATAATTGCATCATGGGGATAGTTGCTCCACCCTATAAATTTACTAGAACAAAAAATCATTAAATTGAACAGTTGCAATGCGTAAATGTTACAGTATATAAATTATCTCTCTCATACATACAGCTGTTTAAAAAAAAAAGGCATCCCCCATATGGGAAAAGGCTAAACACTTTCCCACTAAAGTCAAGAAAAATTACTCCACTACTGAATAACATTATACAGGTAATTGCCAATGCAATTAGACTAGAGGCATAACAATTGGGTACGGGCATATGAACTATCTCTAGATCAATTTGCAAATAATATATTTAATTGAAAAACCCCAAAAAATCAATGGAAAAACTATTCCAAATAAGAAAATGTAGTAAAACAGTAGGATGTAGTTACACACAGGAATCAAGCCTCCCTATACACAATAATAACCAGTAAAGAGAAATCATACATGGAAAAAATGAAGTAAAAATAGAAAAGATCCCATTTACAACAGCAAAAATAAAAAATGGGCTTAAATTTAACAACAATAAACAATACCAATCCTATATAAAGAATACGACATTCCTGAAAGAAGCAAAGTGAACAGGAAAGACAAACCATGTTCTTGGAAAGGAAAATTCAACATCTAAAGGTGGCAGCACTCCCTAAAATAATCTACTACTTTAATGCACTCCTAATGGAAATACCTTTAGGGTTTTATTTTTTCCTGAAGAAAGAAAAGTTGATTATAAAATTAACTTGAAAGAATAAATAAGCAAGAAAAGCTAGGAAAATCCTGAAAAAAACAAGGCAATGACTGGTAAAAGGTACAAGCCCTGTCAGACATTAAAATGTGTTTACTCAGCTTCTATAATTAAAACAATGTGATACAGGTACATGAATGGACAGACCAATGGAACAAGATCTAGAAATATATCCTAATGCCTATGGAAACTGAGTATATGACTAAGGAGCTATCTCATATAGGGGATAAAGAACTTTTTAATAAGTAGTATTGTTTCATTGTCTGTATTACAATGTTTAAATGAGACATTAGTATTGCTCACTTTTGAACTTCTTGTGTCTGATATCAAACAGTATATATTGTGTCAGCTCTTTTCACGCAACATTATTTCTGTGAGAAACGTAAGTACTGTTGCATTTGTCAGTTAATTTGTTTCTTTTCATTGCTGTGGTATCATTCCATCACATTCAGATAAAATTTAGCCATTCTGCTAGCTAATGGGCATTTTTGCTGTTACAAGCATTCCTACTTGAGTATTTTGATGAATATGTCTATATACTAATTTGTGTTAGGTCTGTGCACCCACACTAACCTACCTATCTAAAAGTAAGTGAAACAGACATATGCATCTTGATGTGATCCATCAAGAAAATCACACCCAAATCTAGGCAGGCCATTAGACGAGCATGTCCAATTTAAAATAACTCAGTTTCTTCAATAAATATATAGCATGAAGTTTAAAGAAAAGAGTGGAAACTAGTGTCAATTAAAAGACACTTGGAGCATTTGAGATCCTGCTCCCCACCACTATCCTCAGTGCTCAAATAAACTCTTACAAAAATTCTCCACAAGTGTGGATGTTTCTTACATTGAAATTTACTTTGTGTGGTGTGGCAGAATTCTGAAAAAGCCCACCCAGGGCAACCCAGCAGACTTGAAACTGATGCTAGGTACAAGCAAGGGCCCATTGTGCCCCACCAGTTCCCACTATACACTGGGTGAACTTAGGTGAGTCTCTCTCAGAATTGTAGGCCTCCTTGCTCTAAGCAGCAGGGCCCTAACTTTGAGTTGTTCTTAGAAAATCCTTGATGTGGATAAGGTCTGAAATAACCCAGGAAAAAGAAAAAAAAATGGATGGCTGCTTTTCATCAATTGTCTACTCAGAGTCTGAACAAAATCTTTCCTAGTTAAATGAAAGACTGAATTCTTCAGCTCTGAAAGATAAAGGACATGTGCTTCCCCACCGCAAAAAGCCACTGAAAAGACAATAGTTGTTCAGATCCCCAAATCCGAGGTGGCAGAGATGGGTGCTGTGAAGCAATCACCACGGTAGGGCAGCTGATCCCAGAGAAGCCAGCAGGAGCGCTGGCGATAAGGGCAGGGTGCCCTATAATGGGTTCACCCTGAGAGAGGGGCCCAAGGGAGGGGCCATGCTTTGGAAAGCATTCTGGTTCTGGTGACTTCCCATGAGCTCTCACTAGGCACTGCTCAAGTATTCTTAGGTGACAAAGAATAAAAAAAAAAAAAAAAGACACTTAAGAGACACAGCAACCAGATGAATTACTGAGAGGATTCTGATTTGTGTAGTCTTGAAAATTTCCATGATAAAAGGTTAAATAAAAAAATAAACATATGATCACCCTGGCCCAGTGGCTCAGTTGCTTGGAGCCTCCTCCAGTACACCAAAAGGCTGCGGGTTTGATTCCTGGTGAGGGCACATGCCTAGGTTGTGGGCTGGATCTCCGGTCAGGGTGCATAGGGGAGGCAACTAACTGATGTTTCTCACATCAGTGTTTTTCTTTCTCTCTCTCCCTACCTTGTTCCCCACTCTCCTCTCTAAAAAAAAATCATCAATAAAAAACATTTAAGAATATGTAAAAAATAAAGATATGGTCTTTATAAAAATCTGAGCTACTAGTTCTTAAAGATATAAATAAAGCTAGTATAGATTATCTTGTAAAAATTCCCTATTCATATTTACCCAAAATAAAAACTGCAGAGCCCAACTGCTGTACTTGTCAATTACCTCTTCAATTTTTATTTTAAAAAAATTATAAAGGGAAAAGGCAGAAAAAAAACTGAGAAAATAAAAATGACTTTTTTCTGAAGTAACTCTTCAGAGAAGAATTTTATCACCCCAAATCTATCTTATCACAACAAACGTATTAGCAGGCAAAAACTGAAAATCTAATGGAAATATGAGATCGACGCATAAAACACAGGACAGACATACAGGGTCCAGCACAAATAATTCCCCCTTTTTATTACAAAATCTTTTATTATAAAACCATAAGCATGTAATTCCGTAACACAACAATATCACACTCAAGCACACCATATGACATTTTAGGTGAAATGTTCAAATTAAAACTATAAATTATTACACCCATATTACCCTACCAACCACACTCAAGGAGTTACTTCTGCAGGACCCTATGTATAACATTTATATATAGTTAAATGTATTTTTTTGAATTTTGAAGATATGATGATGAGAAATTTATTTTGTACCATAATCTGAAACCTTGGTCCTAAGGACTTTAAAATTTGATGTTTATAGAGTTCCAGCCAAGATGGAGGCCTAGGTAGAAACCATTCGCTTCCTCACACAACCAAAAGGAAGGTAACAACCAATCTGAAATCAATAAACAATGAAAAGCACCAGAAAATCAAACTGCATGGAACTCTGACAAGAAAGGAATTAAAGAAAAAATCAACCAAAACAACCAGACCAGTAAGGCAGCGGAACACGTGGGCCGACTGGGAAAAAACATGCAATAGGGCAGACCTTGGGGGTGGGGCGGGGCTGGCTGCCAAGCTCCATAGGCTGCTGGGGAGGGGCTGACTTACGAGGACTCAGAGCTCACTGTGGGCTACAGCTGTTGCAGAGATACAAGAAGCTCCCAGTCTCACACTAGAGTCCATTGAAAAGTGCGTGAGTAAGTGGGCAGCACTGTTCCCTCTCTGGCCCCTCCACAGCAAAGAGGGTCCCTGCCTGGGTGAACGCCTAAGGGCCCGCCCCCTTACAACCTATCAGCTGTGCCAAGACAAAGAAATATGGCCCAAATGAAAGATTAGAGTAAAGCCTCAGAAAGAGACAGCTAAGTGTGAAGGAGACCGTCGTCCTATCTGATGGAGAATTTAAAGCCCTGGCAATCAAAATGCTCACAGATTTGACTGAGCTGGGTCGAAAATGAAAAAACAAATGAAAGATACCCTAAGTGAAATAAAGCAAAATATTCAGGGAACCAACAGTGACAGGAAGGAAACCAGGACTCAAAGCAATGATTTGGAACAAAAGAAAGAAACAAACATCCATCCAGAAGACAAGGAAGAAACAACAATCAAAAAAAATGAAGAGAGACTTAGGAACCTCTGGGACAACTTGAAATGTTCCAATATCCGAATTATAGGGGTGCCAGAAGGAGAAGAGGAAGACTAAAAAAATCAAAAACTTATTTGAACAAATATTGAAGGAAAACTTCCCCAATCTGGCAACGGAAACAGGCTTCCACGAAGTCCAAGAAGTCCAGAGAGTCCCAAAGAAGTTGCACCCAAAGAGGAACACACCAAGACACATCATCATTAAGTTACCCAAGATTAAATATAAAGAGAGAATCCTGAAAGAAGCAAGGACAAAGGAGACAGTTACCTACGAAGGAGTTGCCATTAGACTATCAGCTGATTTCGCAAAAGAAACCTCGCAGGCAAGAAGGGGCTAGAAAGAAGTATTTGAAGTTATGAAAAGCAAGGACCTATATCCAAGATTGCTCTATCCAGCAAAGCTTTCATTTAGAATGGAAGGGCAGATAAAGCGCTTCCCAGGTAAGGTCAAGTTAAAGGAGTTCATCATCACCAAGCCCTTATTATATGAAACGTTAAAGGGATTTAT